TTTTTTTTTTATTTTGCTGTTTCGGTGCTCTAAGTACGCACCTTTCCTGTTGAAAATTTTGAAAGACTTTTTTGATAGAACTATCTAACTGATTATTGTGCCACAGTGTCACTGTCGAACTAGCATTTTGAAATTGCAAGATGGTTTTTTTAAGGGTACTGCTGAACAAAGAGTTTTGTCTCCAGAGGAGGTGGAAAACCTTTTGAAAGTTGTTGAAACGGAAAGAGCTGAAGCAGAAGCAGAGGAGGCCAGCAAAAAGGCACCTTTGGGAAAGTGATCTCGTTTTTTTACAGTGGAACTCTCCTTATATGAGCTGTCAGTTGCCAAGTCTTCATGCCATGGGAGTTGTCATTTGTAAGGGGTTGCCGCCATGTATTAATAATGTCATTGTTTAATTAATTTTTCTACTGATTTTAATTTTATGTACAGTTTAAATCACTAGTGATTTGGTGAAATGAAGTGAGATGATTTGAAGAAGAAGCAAGTGGGTGGGATGAAGTGACTGAGATAGGCACTTAGCATTGGTGGAGTTACCTCTGCGGTCAGTTGGCTTCTTTTCTGACTACTGTAGACAATGAGGGCAGTTGTACGCGTTTGAAACCTGTGGGATATTTAGACCTTTAAATGAGTAATTCGAGTTTATGTGTGGTTTTATTACTTTGGAGCGGATAAGTACGGTATATCTCTATTTAATCATTTTCGTTTCAAAAACTAAAGCCGTTGTTTGTTTGGCAGTGATCTATGAAGAAGCATCTACGAAGTAGCCTAGTTTTGTCAACAGTGGGAAAAAAATTTTCATAATAGTCGTATTCCAAGTACACACCTGTGAAAGCTTGCTAGTGAAGTCGCATTTTTTAAAAGAGCCTTTTCGCGCAGTAGTGGCTTAGAAATAGGCTGTCCTAATGACTGCACCTGAACAGGTTAGTTGTAAATCAATTTTCCAAAAAGCATTTCGTGCAGCTTTCTAATGGTTTTGTGATCTAGGTCATTTCTCGTTTCATCAGGTACTTTGGATTACAGGAAGGTTGCACTGACACTTTTCAGTTTTGGGATTAGTGGCTCTTCCAAAGTTTCTGGCCAATACAGTAAAAGGAAATAAGGAAGGGCGGGGTAGTAACTTGTAGCGAAACGGAGCGAACTGAAACAGAGGGAACACCGTACGAACTAAAAGTGGCCTTAAGTTTGTTTGTCTGCTTCTAACTACTTATATCTGTTTTGAAAAATTCCGTACGGACACTTGTGAATCAACCGTTGTTAGGTCTAAATATCATTATGTCAAAAATCAACTCTTTTTCGCTACAGCTCTGGTTTTTTGTCAAATGCTAATACTTTGTTGGCAGCTGAATTAGTACGTTCGTTTAGCCAGCTCTGTGAGCACTTACAGCGTCCAACTTATGGTGGCAATTTTCAGGGGGGCTATGCTGTATATTCTTACGTGGAGTCTTGCCCATACGAGGGCGTTCCACTGTGTTTTGATTCCATTGTAAGTGTGATGGCTGATGTGTTTTGTGTACGTCAGATGGGTGAAGCAGTTCAACTGGTTCTTGGGCACAGCATTTTCTTCATGTTACTCAAAAATTTTTATGATGGCATACCAAACGTTTGTATTAGCCCTTTTGGTTGCTACTTCACTTTAATATGTCATTGTTATTCTGTAAGTTATTGTCGTATGTTGTGGGGATCTTAAAGGATTAGTATGCAACACGCTGAATATAAAATAAGTTGCAATAGTTTAAGGTGTTTGGGATCAGTTACTCATCGTTAGCCGAGCGTTTTTATGGTGTGCTTGGATTCTATTCGTGTGTTGTCCATTGTTTGCAATTACAGGACTGGCTTCAAAAAGTGTCATGTGTAGTAATCAAAATTTAGGTCTTCAATTCGGCAGGTGAATTTGTGTTTTCAGGTAAGATGCTGAAGTTGTTCACTGACTGTGTGGTAGAGGGAAGATTTCAGAAATGGCTGTTGCCGCTTTTGGGCTTTGATAAGGTATATGGCTGTTTCACTTGGGTTGTATGCTACAGTCCTCAGCAAGTAGTTTACGGCGATAAATGAAGGGGAAAATTTAAGTGTGAGTACCCACTACAACTGGTTGTTCCTGTGTGAACGTTTCGTTTTATTTGCATTATTTTGGAGCTTGTGAAGCCAGTGAGGAAAAATGCAGAAGCAGCAGTGGTGCGTGGTCAAGTTTTAGCGCGGGACGGGAGAGGAGGTTGAGACTGGTTGGGTAAAGGCTACAGTAAGATTAATTTATTGAGATAAGCGGTGTAAATCTGCGTCGGATTTTGTTTGCAGTGAATGTGGTGTATTGTGAGTTAAGAACATTCAAAGTATGCGCCTAAATCGAGCCTGAATATGCGGTGGTTTTGATGTGCTGTAAATTAAAAGTTTTCGGGATGTGCTGCTGTTGGCTATTATCAACTAGGTTCCTGTATACATTTATGGAGGTAGATTTATTGTATTTTCAGGCATACGAGTCTCAAACCAATTGCTGCGGAAATAAATTGGCTTTAGGTCAGAACAATGAAGAAAAAATGGGTTTAATTTTTGTAAGGCGTGGTTTATGACCAATAATAAGTTGAAGTCAATGTGGAGGATTATTAAGCGATATTCCCGGTCCATTACTCTTTATAAAGTCGAGTAGACGAGTGAAAGGCTAACTGATACGAGGCTTCTTGTTTGCAATTGCTGATTTTTCATTTCAGAGTGGTTTTTGAAGTTGATTAACAATTTGGATAAGCCAGAAGTTTTGTAATAGAAGCTAAAGTCTAAAAAAAGTATGAAAGAGATGTAGAGCTGCAAGATTCATGAAAACTCTAGAGGCAGGGACATGCTGCCGTATCAAGCAAGACGGAGCTGCACGATCCGGAAGTACTCTGCAATGTTGTTCGTACTGTAAACACAGATAGTGTGGAGCAACAAAGTCTGGGACCATACAATTGGGAAGTTCTGTAGGGTTTTTTGTCGTTGTTCGTGGTGTAAACACGGATGTTACAGAGCTCCACGATCTAGCAGAACCTCTGTTGTTTCTTACATTCGTTACACAGGGGTTGCAAAGTACTGTAGCTGAAAGGTACAAATTTACTTCATATTATCCAAACTCAGAATGCAAGGTACAAAAGTTTAGTATGGAGTTGTTAGGTTTATGAAAAGCTCTAGTGTCTTGCAGTTTTTATGAATTAAAGTTTTTGGTCTCATAATAGTCTTAGAAGGACAACAGCAAAGGGTTTAGCGACAAAAAGAATTTAGCAATTTTTTTTATTTTTATTTTTTTTATTTTTTATTTTTGCTTTTCGAATTTTTATTAAGGCTATTAAATTTAAAACAATTTTAGGTAAAAAACGGAACAGCAACGAAAATAAGTTTTTTGGTACATACGCATTTCCATAGCAAAAAAGTATTTTATCCCTACAGTTGTGCAGAATTTTCTTCAATAAAGTGAATTAACAGCAGTTGCATAAAGTTATCTAAATGAGTGCACTAAACTACGATTTAGACTGTTCTCTGACTATTTACCCAAAACTAATGTTTTAACAATTAAAGACAAAAAATAACTACAAAAATGAGTTCTTTGTCATTTTGGTTCAGTATCTCATATAAACAAAAAAACATTTAGCTAAAGTTCGGAAAAAAGCATTTGATGTTGATGCAGTAAAGTAAAAATTTTTCAGATGAAAAGCGCAAATGGCTGCTGCTGAAGTTTCACATTACTGTAAGCATCTTAATATGTACATCTAAATATCAGTTGCTTTTTTTTTCCAAATTGAACTACTAGTTGATGAGAACAGATTGAATAACAGAACCATATCACTGTTATCATTTCCTCCTTCCTTCCCAGCTCTTTTTCTCGGCACCTTCTACAGCGACCTAAAAACAATAGTTTCTGTTCAAATAGCTTTCTTGGAGAGCCCAATAATACGTCCAGCAAATTCAGCAAAGATAGGCCAACTGAATAGGACCGTTGCTTTTTCCTGTTTTCCCTTTCTGTACAACGTCTCCCAATGTAAAATCGTGTTCAGTACCTGAAGAGTAACATCGAATGATTGGATATAATATACGTCTTGAAAAATACCATTAATCCGGCTATTTTACTCTTTCTAACTACTTTTGCTATTGCGTTGAAAAACATTAAGGCGAGAGAGTAGGAGAAACAGACAGTCAAAGAAATTTGA